CCGCTCATTCCGGCTGTCCTTACCTCTTTGCTTCAAGCCCATCTAGAGGAGGCCCCAGTACCGTCCGAGTCCACGACCGGCACCGACCAGTTCTGGGATTCTGATAATAAACAACCACATCCCAAACGGTTTGTCATGGACGATTTGCGTTGCTGCCTAACAAAAGACACTCGAATACTGATGCGTGTGCTCTGTAGCGTCTGCGAGGCCCTCAATCTACCGCTTTTTATCATCTCCCTCTGCGTGTCAGAGGCGACCATGGGGCTGCGACGGGCCGTTAAGAACCGCGCGCGATGCGAGGAGGAGGTGGCATCCGCTCACATCGACCTCTTATCCGAAGTCGCCTTTGAAAAGCTCGATATGGTCGCGCGTGAGGCCTACAACAGACAGCTCAAGCACCTCAACGAGTGTCGCCGCGCGCTAAACCGCGAGACGGCAGAGATGGAGCGTTTTAAGGAGCTTCTGGAGGACAAACCACAGGACTCCATCCAGAAAATCTGCCGCATGGAGGAACGCGCGTTCATTCAAGGGTTTAAAGCGCTGGAGATGTCATTCCGCACTTCCCACCGAGCCGCGCGGAGCACCAATACGCTGAGTCTGGACCATCCGCAGCCTGAACCGAACTGGGAGGTGCTGAGCCCGCTTGCTGCCTTCAAGGAGCTCTACAAGTACCTCGAATCCCCCCGATTCCCTGTCCAGCTGAACTCGGAGAATCCACTGGAGCCCACCCAATCCTTCTTTGTTCGGCTGTTGGAAGTGGATGGCGAGCATCCGGCGAAGGATACGGCGTCGAGCATCCTCGCCACGATGCAGATCGGTGCTTCCGACCCGCTTGGCAGCGGCTCCCGTGCCGTGAACCTGGAAGGAAACACGGAGGAAGCCCTCGAGGAAGGGGCATGCGGCTCCCCCAGCCGCGCCACCATGAGTCCGTTGAAAACGGCGTCGTCGTCCAAAATAGGGGAAAGACGGCATCGTTTGTCCGAATTTGGTGATAATCCGTTAGTGAGTATGGTGGGGCTGTGGGGCTTTCTGGATGCGGAGCGGTTGCAGGCCATGAGCAGTACGAAGCCCATCCCTTTTGTTCGTTTCTTTTCGGAGGTGGAGTTTGAGGTGCAGGTGCCGCATCCGGGAAAGAAGACGAAGATCATCCCGACCGTCCTCACACGCGCGTACGAGGAGCACACGCGCTGGCTTATCCCCGCGAAGTCGTACATTGATATTCAGGTGGAGTTTTGCTGCGATCGTGCTGGTGATTACTCGATCCCATGTACCTTTGGCATCGTCGGGACTCAGCAGTCCTGGGAGCTTGTCGTAAAGGCGCTTGCGGCCGTGCCGGATATATGCCGCGAGGATAAATTTATCTTCCCAAGCGTTCGATCCCGGCTTCCTGCGAACGTCTCCCCTTCCAATGTCTTTTTGCAGTCGAAGATGACCTACTACTTCGGCTCGCTTCTCGTCCCTTCACCCAGCGTGAAGGGCCGGCGTGGGGAACGCTCCTCGTCGTTTCATATGAACTCCCATTCTTCCCATACCTCTCCTACCGCCGCTGTCGTCGCGGCGCATCCGGGTACACCGACGGCAAATCTTGGTGAGGTAAAGCTTACCTTCGCCAACAACGGTAGCTTCCCCTGCGAGGTGAACTTTAGTTTTCTAAAAGAAAAGGAGCGGACCTTTGGATTTACACCGAATAAACTACACTTGGAGGTGGGCGAAACCCAGACGGCCGTGCTGAGTGCTGCGCCCGAAACAGTCGGCGAAATCACCAACACGCTGATCGCGTGTGTAAACGGCAACCCCACCCCTTGGCTGGTGCATTTGTCGTGCATCGGCTCGAGACCCTCGCTGAGCCTCGATGGCAAGAAAGAAGCCACCATCGACCTCGGCCGCACCATTATCCAACGCCACGCGAAGCGAGAGGTGACCTTTGCGAACACCAGCAGCATGCCGATCCGATGGAAGTTCATCGGACATGAAAAGCTCCCCGCGGAGTTACAATTATCCGCGACCTCCGGCGTCCTCGACGTCCATGAATCGCAGCCGTTGGTGGTCTCCTTCGTTCCGACCACGACGTGCCTGCATCAGATCACGCTGCAGGTGCAGGTGAGTGATTCGAACCTGAAGCACATCGTGTATGAAACCCTCCCGATCGTCGTGAAGGCGGAGGGCCACGACGTCATCATGGAATGGACGCGCGAGGTCGACTTTAAGCTCATGCACGTCGGGGAAACGAAGAAGGAGATGATCCGGCTGCTGAACAAGGGCCCCTATGATGTCGGCTACGTCCTGCGCTACCCCAAACGCCTCGCGAACGTGCTCTCGCTGAGCTCGCAAAAAGGCGTCATTCGCGGCATGCTCGGCTACAAAGACGCGGCGGTGGCGAAGATTGAGGTGACGGCGCACTTCGACCACGAAGGGGAGATCTCCGCGAAGCTCGGCCAGCTCGAGCTCGCCTTCTACGAGGTCGGGCTCGAGGAGTTGCTCTACCCGATCCAGCTCCTCCCCGTGCGTGGGGAGGCCTGGTACACCCACTGCGCCCTCAAACCCAGCGTCATCGACTTCGGCTCCTGCTTCTCCGGGCAGCGGAAGGAGGCGCGGTTTGAGATCACGAACACCGGCCGCTTTCCGTTGCAGTTCGCGCTCTTTAACTAC